AGGACCCCATCACAGACAACTGAATCCGAATCTCTCTGGGTGGGGCCTGAGTGTTTATTTCTTAAGAGCTCCCTGGGTGATTCTCATGTGTTCTGAAAGTTAAGAACCACTAGATGAAATGAAGCAAGTTGCCCTGAAATAAACATTTGCTTCGCATGCTGGTGGTCGGCGGTGGGAAGGGCGGCAAAGGGATGTGGACGGACTGCGTGGCCTTAGTTACCCTCTAGCTAACAGCTGCTGCCACCCTTCTTCCCAGCAGACGCAGAGCAGTACTTTGGAACTTGCCGCGCAGAGGTTGCAATCGTTTCCATAAAACCTCACCTTTATACCCCCTTTATTTTCTTCCAGGGTGTGGTCAGCTTCTATTTCTCCAGTATATACTATCACCAGGCAGCCTGGTGAATGGAAGTGGCCAGGTCATGGGCACAGGTGACTCAGCTGGCTACAAAGGGAGCCTTGTATTCTCCCTTCCACTTTTTCATTCCTCCTGGTTCTGCTGCACTCGTCCTCACACGTATGTGTGTGAGAGTCTGCTCCCAGTTCGGGCCCATCCAGTGAACTTGACCCTCAACACTCTCGAGAGTGGTGTTTAAAATGGAAAAGCACCAGGTGCTTCTTGCCCAGAAAGATCTGGGAAATTCATGAAATCTGGGGCTGTGTTCAGATTTGCTTTGGTTCAGTAGAAGAACTAGACTTGAAAATGAACCAGAGTCCTTCCAAATGCAGGCACCTATTGAACTGCCGACTTTCAGCCTCAATTGCCAGTTACAGGTGAATAGAAGCAGCCAGTTCTTCCCTCTTCTCCCTTTCTGAAGTCAGTGACTTTGATGACAAGTATTCCTCATTCATGAGCTTTTCCAGACGGTTCAGAGTCTTACAAATTATCATCTCCTCCATGCCCATAATGCTTATCACATGGAAAACACCCACAGTAGCAATGACTTAATTCAAAATCACTATAGGCAGCTGGTATGCTGTGGAACAGGAATACAGCCGGAAATGAACTTGGGTCTACCGGGGCCTTACCTGGGGTTTGGTCTAAAGCAGCACCGTTAGGGCACCTGGGTGGCTCAGTTGGTTAAGCGACGGCCTTTGGCTCAGGTCATGATCCTAGAGTCCCTGGATCGAGTCCCACATCGGGCTCCCTGCTCCACGGGGCATCTGCTTCTCCCTCTGACCCTCCCCCCTCTCGTGCTCTCTCTCTCATTCTCTCTCTCTCAAATAAATAAAAAAAATCTTAAAAAAAAAATAAATAAAGCAGCACCATTAGAAACTACATTCCTGATTGGGGCAAAAAATGCTTTTAAATTTATTTCTTATTATGGTATTGGATTCTGATTGGGGTAGAGAATCATTCCTCCCCCAGGATAACAAAGGCCTCTGGTACATAGAACCAGGAAGCCCGAGACAAAACACACCCAGCAGAAAGGTAGAGTTCATGCTCTCCTGTTGGCATCTGTTTGTTCACAGCTTGGGCAGAAACGTCCAGCAGGAAGAATAAATGTTCCCATAGCTGAACATACAGGAATCCTGATTTATGGGCAGTGACTTCCAGTTTACTTGGACAACAGGGAAACTCATTACTCCACCTTTATTTCCTATTCCTCCATTGAGGGCTCCTGGTTTTATGCAAATCAGCTAGAGTTCACGAGTCCCTGCCCCAATTCGATCCTGCTGTACAACCTCCAGACAGCTGCTGGTCTGGGGGAAATTCCAGCAGCTTTTATGCTGATGCTCCCAGACAGACTGATGGGAGAATCGCTTTCAGGGACTTCCACGTTCTCCCAGGAAGGTCTGTTGTTCTGAAGCTGAAGAGCTGCTATTAGCACGGTAATTTTCTCAAATGAACATTGAGCTAAATTATCTCAAATGTATGAAGGAACATCTCTCACTGTGTTATGGAAAATTGCCTCCCAAATTACAAGACTATACAAAGCGCGTATTAATTTGGGGCCCAAGGACATCCAAATTGCCTTAGCTTCTGTACTGTATCGTGATGACACGCTCTTAGTAACGCCAGGTTCCGAGGACACCACGAGGTGCACGCTGTTAGGAAAATCAGCCAGGCAGGAGCTTTCTCTGTGAAGATCCCCGCATGCATACCCGAGCCCAGCGAGAGGCCCTTTGCGCTGAGATGCAAGCCTTTTGCAGAGGAAATAAATCCCAATTGCATAGGCAGGGAAGTGAATTTGAATTCTACTGGGTCAACTTCCCCAGATGGCTTTCTCACTGATGCCCCGGAGCGAGGCAACAGAGGAAGCAGCCATCGGCGGCCCCAGTGTCCAGAGGAGATGTCCGATGACAGGTGTCTCAGGAAGTACTCCTGCACGTGCGCCTTCAAGTCCACGCCAAGGTGAAAGTGGGAGAGCAGAGGCCAGGCACGGGCTGACAGCCTTCGCCAAGGGTCAGCGCTGTGGTGACCATGTGTCAGTGTGTGGTCCCACAGACAGTGAGCCCTGGAAACCAGCCCTGCCTGAATTCCCCCCCACCGGTTACCCCTGCACCCAAACAGTCAGCTCACGTGCAGCCCACCACAGGATGCTTCTAATGAGGATTTTTCAAAGATAAAAATAAACATTTTTTAAGATAAAAATTACTGGATTTTGCCTTGTTTATTCCACCTAGCCTTGTTTTTCATTTTTCACTTTTTTGAGGAAGTATCACAAAGCCAATCCGAGACATAATGACATTTTATATGCTTTAGTACACGTCTAAAAAAGATGTGTATTTTGGGGGGCACCTGGGTGGCTAGTCGGTTGAGCATCTGACTCTTGGTTTTGGCTCCTGTCAAGATCTCAGCCCCAGATCTCAGCCCCGCATGGAGTTGGGCTCTGTGCTCAGCAGGGAGTCGGCTTCAGATTCTCTCTCCCCCCGCCACTCCCCCACTCTCTCAAATAAATAAGAAAGAAAAGATGTGTATTTTTTTCTATGTAGTCACAATGCCATTACAAACCTAACAAAATTAACAATGTTTCCTTGCTATCTGATACTCCGTTTCAAATCATATTCATCTTATCTCAAAAACGTCTTTTGTTTTGTTTGTTCAAACAGTAAAGCTTTTACAAAATAAAAACAAGATCATGAGGTGCCCCCACCCCAAGGCTTGGTAAATTATAAAAGGCTCTGGTGCCTCCTCAGCTTCCCTTCCACCTTTTTTTTTTTTTTTTAAGATTTTTATTCTTTTTTTTTTTTTTAAGTAATCTCTACACCCAATGTGGGGCTTGAACTCACAACCCCGAAGATCAAAAGTCACACACTCTATGGACTGAGCCAGCCAGGCGCTCCCCCTTCCACCTTCTTTAAAGTGTCCCACCCTTCCTTCAGAGGACAGTACTCTCCATTCCAGGTCATCCTGGTGGCCTTTCAGAGTCTGACTGTTGGGACCCATAGCCCAAGCTCAGAGTTTGACCTTGACCGGAGCTGAGCGTGCACCTGGACGACAACCGCTAAAGGGGATTTCCGTTCACCCAACTCCTTTGAAACTGCCCTGAACTCTGCTTTTCCAAAGATCTAGGGGTTTGTTTTGTTTTGTTTTTTTAAGATTTTATTTATTTATTTGAGAGAGAGAGAATAAGAGACAGAGAGCATGAGAGGGAGGAGGGTCAGAGGGAGAAGCAGGCTCCCTGCCGAGCAGGGAGCCCGATGCGGGACTCGATCCCGGGACTCCAGGATCATGACCTGAGCCGAAGGCAGTCGCTTAACCAACTGAGCCACCCAGGCGCCTGATCTAGGGGTTTTTATTCCTTAAATTCTATCAGCTATGCAGCAATGGCTTCTCTCTTCAAGTCAGCCAGAGCTGGTTTCTCACACAATGCCTTTCCCATGCAATGTCTCCTCACAATTTGTCCCCTTTCTCTGTACATTTGCCATCCTGTCCCGACCGAGGCTCCCAGCAGACACTGCAGCGTGAACACACAAGAGCAGACCTGCCAGGGGCCACCATCCCTGGTCTCTATTCGGAAGGCGACATCCCCAACACGACGCTAGTGGCTTACCAAGGGTCCCGGAGGAACGGACTAATTGAAACGATGTGCTCAAGGAAAAGGGTTGGTTCCGACAGAACTGAGTAGAGAGAGAGCCCTTGGCTTGCAGGGGAGGCAGAGGGTCCCATCTGTGGTTTCCCGGCGCCATGTTGAGACCCAAGGCATTGGCTCCCGAGCTGACAGGACACCCTGGTCCTCATGGGAAGGCACCTCAAACCTCACCTGACCCCTCGATGCCCTCACCAAACACACGAGAGCTCAAATCTCTGCGTCCCGTTCTCCCTTGCATGAGCATCTCACCCAAAAGCATAAGATATTCATGAAATAAAATTAAAAGGCACAGAACACCTGTGGGAAAGAAGGGCTGTGTGAGGAGTCTCCCCAAATAAAAGATTCAGTCCAGATATTTTCTTGAAAATGCCACTGTTTGCAGTGTGGTTAGTTGGGCACGTGGCTTTTTTATTTTTTCCATCAGATATAAATGGCTACTGGATAAGATTGTTATTTAAAGCAGGCAGAAGGGGTGCCTTGGTGGCTCAGTCGTTAAGCATCTGCCTTCGGCTCAGGTCATGATCCCAGAGTCCTGGGATCGAGCCCCGCATCGGGCTCCCTGCTCCGCGGGAAGCCTGCTTCTCCCTCTCCCCCTCCCCCTGCTTGTGTTCCCTCTCTCACTATGTCTCTCTCTGTCAAATAAATAAATAAAAATCAAAAAAAGAAAAAAGAAAAAAAAGCAGGCAGAAGCCTGAGATTATTATAATCAAAACTTCTCAACTTCAATTTCTCCTTAATAAAACTTCGGGGCTCAGGCCACAAAAAGACAGAGATAATGGAAGGAATGGGCTCCCCGCGGCGGAGTTCGCAGCGTGCTGGAGCTCGGGCAGCCCTTGTCCGGCTGGGGTCTCAGGACCAGCAGCAGCGGCAGAAAAGCGTTTAGGAAGGCACGTTCTCGGGTTCCACCAGGACTGGGGGTGGAGGGGGCGGGGGCGGGGGGGGGGGGTGGGGGGGTGGGTAGGGCCCAGGGATCTGTCTTTGAGCAACCTTCCACCCCAGGGGATTCTGATGCAGGCTGAAGTCTGAGACCCAAAGGGACATGGAGGATAATTGGCAATAACTGCCCGTTATTCAGCCCTCCCCACCTCCCCCTTCAGGCAGCAAACCTTTCTGGAAGCCTCCTGTATGTCTGGTGCTGTGTTAGGTGCTGGGGATGTAAAGACCACAAAGAGCCTCTGCCCTCCAGAGACCAGTGACGGGGGAAAGGTGAGCATGGAAGCAAAGAGGGCCCGGGAGCTAGCATCCTTGTTGCAACAGTTAGATAGATTCCCAGCCTCTCTGCTTTGACGCTGGGTGACCTCGAGTGCGATCCTGAACCTCTTAGGGAGGCTAAGAGGCCTCAGTTTCCCCATTGCCTTCTCTATGGAGATAAAAATCATCCTCCAGTCCTGGGGCTGTTGTGAGATTTAGGTGAAATGATGTGGATAAGGGCCCTTATCCCTGGGCCTGGCACCCACAGGAGAGAGGACTAGAGGTCAGGTCCTGTGGTTTTCAGGGTGCAGAGTGAGAACATGAAAGAGGGTGTGGGCCGACCCCACCCGGCCAGGAGGGGCTTCCAGGAGAGAACACGTTTGACGTCGGTCTAGGAAGGTGAGTCATTCTGTGCAAAGGAAGGGTGTCAGCCAGAGCCACGTGGCTGGGAGGATCCCACAGCCTCTGGGGGACATTCTGGGGCCTCTCGCACCTTCTCCAGCAGGCCCCAAGAGTCCCAGCAGCATCATGTGGCGACCATTGTGCTCTGGCCCACAATCCTGCCCAACTCCTCTTCTGGACCAGTTTAAAGGTCAGAGTCGCCGCCCAGAGCCCCTGGACTTCGTGAGAGTCTAATGTGCCACAAGGCGAATGGCTCAGCCTTCTCCCTTTCTGGCTTCCTCCCCTCGCTGAGAAATGTGGTGGAAACAGGGGCATCACCACACACCAGCCTCAACACCTGCCTTTTGACCATCCCGACCATCCCGGAGAACACTTCCCCCAGAGCCTTTTCTCACCGGCCTCTCCGACTTTCCCATCCTTTAGCGGAAACACTGGAACGCTGGACGGAGATGCGGAGGCCACTCAGGTCCCTTCCCATAGAGATGAACTGAGGGCAGTTCACCTCCCCCCCCGCCACCACCAGGACCCTGAAGTTGTCTGAGGCAAAGTCTACTTTCTCCCCCAAACAATTCTTTTCTCCTTCATTTGTATTATTAATTTAGAAAGCCCAACACGAGCCCCAAGTACTATGCCCCCTCTGCAGATCGGTCTCCCTCTCACCAGGAGCCCGGGCCTGCCATCCTCCTCCTCCTTCTCCTCTCCTTTTATCCTGGTGGCCCACTGATTGGAAAAGAGCGCCCCCCTCTTCCTCCCAGCCCCACAATTGTCACCACCAATTAGTGCATTGTTAGGACACACAATGGCGTTACTGTAGCCAGTGGAATGGGAGGCCTTTGTGCTTCTCCAGCCGGCCGTGGGGGCAGTCAAGTTTCATTTAGAGACTTAAAACACCACGCCAGAAGAAAAATGCTATCAGAAAAGCAAAAAGAATAGAGGGAAGGTGGTGGGTAAGGGGAAAAAAGCACCAAAAAAAAAGAGAGAGAGAAAGAAAAAAAGGACAGAAGGAGAAGGTGAAGTTGGAGATGAAGGCAGAAGGAAAAGAAGGGTGGGCAGAAGCAAATGTTGAAAAGAGAAGGGAAAAAAATCTGCTATTCAGGAGTTAGCCCGAACTCATGAAAAGACCCAAGTGGTTGCTACACACTGAAGTCCCCCCCCTCCGAGAACACAAAAAGGGGCTCGGGCTTAACAGTAATTAGTGGCCTGATTGTGCTTGGAACACTGTGTGTCTTTAGAGGATTTTTCCAACTTTCCTATTTTTTTTCTAGTCCTCACAAATAAAGGGGGCGGGAGGAGAAAAGCAGGGGCTAGGGGAGGGAAGGGCCTGCAAGCCGTGTCCCCCCCACCAGCAGCCTGGGGTGGGGGCAGCTTAGCCTTTCTTCTTTGACAGGTAAATTGGATTTTATTCCCTGAAGCTTGTAACTAATTACAGAGAGTATTTTTCTGTAAGAACGTGACATATGGGTATGTTTTAGAGTCACTGTTTTATTTGTTTCAAGTACCTTTCAAGCAGCCTAGCCCTTTTTGCAGCCAGGAAGATGTCCCCAGAGGCCCAGCCCTTCCATCCAGGGCCCACGGGCCATGGACTTTTCCTGTCAGTCAAACTTGTATGTTCAGAGCCTTTCCTGCTTGTAAAATTCATATCCCAGTTTACAGCCAGGACCAACCTGGAAAAGCAGCCTTCACTCCTGAGCTGGTATCCACTCTGAGCATTGATCAGACTGCTCTGGGGCTGATCAAACAACCTCCCCATGTTTTTCCTCCCTCTCTTCCCCCTCACTGATCCCTAAAACCATCGGAAGTGTTCTGTGCTTCCAAGAGCTGAGGGACAAGGAAAGTTCTTTGAGACAAAGAAGCCCCAAAGTTCAGCTGGTCTCCCGGATGCCCAAGTTCATTCATGTTCATTTTCATATTCTCTCTCTTCCTCCCTCGCCCTCTCTCTCCCTCTCATCTCCCACCTATCCCACACCACATTTTCTAGAAAGTGCAAAGACTCACCAAGTTGGACTTGCCAGGGAATTAGGATATTCACATGTTGCTCCTTTTTAACAGTTTTCTTGGAACAACGAAGCCAGAGGCAGTCAACTCACAACTCATACCTCCTTCACTCTGCTACTCGTGTTTTTTATTTCCCTTCAAAAGCATTAAAGGGGAAGCCTATTTAATGTGGATCTCTGGATCAGACCAGACTCCTATTATTTTACAAATAAGCTAATGGAGACCATGCAAGGTTTCAATAAAATCACCTCCCATCTTAGAAATGAAGCCCTCGGAATTTACCCAGGACTGTCTAACCATTATGCCTCCTCTTTTTGTCTTTTCTATGTTTGAAGTTGAAGCAAAAAAAAAAAATGGGGGGCTGTTCCCAGACATTTACCTGGGACAGGAGGGATAGTGGGGTGATGTCCGGGAACGCGAAGACCAGAGTTCTAATCCACATCCCCAAAGAGTGGAGTGGCCAGGGGCAGGTGGCTGTAGACCTGGGCCCGCTCACTGTGTGTGTATGTGTGTGGAGGGGCCACTAAGCTGGCCCTCAGGCACTGTGACAAATGTGGTGAGGGCTAGAAGAGAGATCCTATCAAGAGGGAGGGGTGCTGGCACATGGCCCGCCCTGGCACTGGACACACACTGGCTTCCTTCCCTGCCGTCTGCTAGTCAGGGGAGCTGCCCGAGGTGCGCTCGCGCTGGTTCTTCCTTCCTCCCTCCCTGCTGGGCCGTGGGGCCTGTTCCGGGCTCTGGAATGCCTTGGCTACCCCCCCTTCCCAAAAGGGCACATCCTGATTCAGTCAGAAAATGAAAAGTGAAACTCTGGTGGTGGCCCATGTCAGGTCAGGTCAGGAAATGCACGTCCCAGGGAGGCTTGAACCCAGGAGGATGGAGCCTCCTAAGGGCTGTGCTTCTAGGGCAGAGAGGGGGCCGGTTCAGGTCCCCCAGACCTGGGGGCGGGCAGGCAGCATAAGGTGTACCCTGAAAGGGTTCTGGGTGAGGGGCTGGTGGCACTCGCCCTCCACCCTCAGCCTTGTGCTCTGGGAGGGGTAACGGGACCCAAAGATGCCGGAACCTGCCAAGGAGGAGGCACAAGAGAGGTCAGGGGAGGACAGCCACTCGGACGTCGAGCCCGAAGACTGTGAGTTCCAGAGTTCATGTCCACACCGCACACCCCACATGCTGTCCAGTCAGGGTCCCATCAGCAAGTCGCCCAGCTCACTGCCTGTGTAGCTCTCAGGTCCCATCTCTTCCGTGTCCCTCTGTCACCTCTCCTGTCCTTAGCCCCTCTTCCCAGGCCATTTCAGTCCATGTAAATTATGAACTCCGAGACAACAGAAATGTGTCAGGATTTCCCACGCTCATTTGAGTGGCCTTGAATGAAGTGCTGTATGTAAGAAATACATGTTGATTGAAAGTATCATTAAGTTTTCACCCCAGTGGGGCGCCTGGGTGGCTCAGTCGTTAAGCGTCTGCTTTCGGCTCAGGTCATGATCCCAGGGTCCTGGGATCGAGCCCCGTGTCAGGCTCCCTGCTCGGCGGGGGGTCTGCTTCTCCCTTTCCCTCTCCCTCTTCCTCTCCCTCTGCTTGTGCTCTCTCTCTCTCAAATAAATAAATAAAATCTTAAAAAAAAGTTTTCACCCCATGACCACACCCATGCTGGGGATAGCCTCATGTGGGCCCCTCAGGACCACAGTGCAGGTCACCCCCTCTGGGACCAGTAAGGTGGCCTCTGGTAAGCAGCTTGCCTTAGAGTACCGCCATCCAATCAGACTTGCTGCGATGACAGGAGTGTCCCGTGGCCACGCGGTCCGGTATGAACGCCACCGGCACTTGAAATGTTATAGCTCGTGCAACTAACAATAGGAATGGTGGATCTTATTTCATTTCAAATAGTATAAATTCCAGTAGCCACTTGTGGCTAGAAGCTCCCACCTTGGACAACAGAGCCTTCCGTGACGTTACTGATCCTTGCCGTGGCCAAGGAGAGGCCTGCTCAGAAGGACATCTGGGCAAATGACAAGCCTTTGAGCACCTCCTAAGGAGGAAGATTTCCGATGAAAGGGGAAACAGTCTTTTCCGTCTCCCTCGATGGAAAGCACCAACTTCTCTCTACGCACGTTCTGCTGACAACCACGATGTGGGGCTCCCTGGTGTAGCCACATGTGGTCTTACCTCGAAATGAGAAAAAGAAGCCTTCCACACCTCGGTGTGGTGGGGAATATCTGGCGGAGTCAAGGGATTCTGCGATGACAAGAGGATGAGTCTACATTCCTTTCCTCCAAAGGTGTCAAAGGGTTCCTGTTAACAGTAGTTATGGCTCTCCCCAGAGCCATAGGTCCCAGTCTGAGTGTGACCGGGTGAGGGGCGGGGCTTCCATCTTCAAGGAGCATTGTCTCTTTCAGTGAGGACTCTGTAAATGATACAGGTAACAGTAGATCACCCGGGGACAATTTCAAAGATGAGAGCAGCTGGGTGAGTAGAAATCACAGCAGATCTAGGTGGCGGGGAATCAGGACGACGCAGGCGAATCACAGACAAGTGAGCCCCACAGCGTCTTGGTATTTAAAATGATCCACACACTTGCGAGAAAAGACAAAACCCCTGTAGGATTTGAATGATAATTCCAAATGCTATTTTAAATTGTCATCCAAAGGATAGATTAATTTTCCATGCCTCCAAGGAAAATGGGGGTCCTCTTCTCACCTTTGCTGCCACCACCCCCACCAGGTTCCCTAGGGGCACTTCCTATTTAATAGGCCCTGGAGAAGGCAAGTCTAGAAAATGAGCTACACTTAAGACCAGAAGTTAGGATGAGCACGAGGGAAAGCAGAGCTGGAACTTTGGTGGGGGGGGGGGGGCGCTCCCCTTAAAGTTCGGCTGATTACACTTACCAACAGGTACATGGCATTCTTTCTGGAAATATAAAATTCAATTTGAGAGGTTCTTCCTCATCTTTCTTCTCCTCTCTGAGAACAGTTGTTCATACCACTTATTCTCAGCTGACACTAAGGTCTCAGAGACTCTGAAATGGTTGTCCACTAAAAATACACTTTATCAGGCAATACCTGGGTCCAGTGCCATATTTGAAAAGAGCCTCTGGCCCTGGAGATGTCACTGTTTGTCTGGTGTGACAAGAAACAAAGTTCAGAGAGCAATACGAGAACAAATACATGCCTGTACTAAGTTGGGAGTTGTGAACGCCCTCCGTGGTCAGGGTTCAAAAGGCAGAGACCTCTAAGGGCTACAGTTGGAAGGCAGGGTCATCCCGCAGATGAGCAGAGCCGTTCCCCAGGGATGCCAAGTTGCAACATTCATGCTGCACCCTGGAGTCCCCTCCAGCCCCAGGACCCCGCAGCTCCTCAGGGAAGCAGTCTCAGGAGGGGGAGGGGCTTGACCAGGGAAGCTGTGGCCCTCTGAGGTTCAGGGATACAGTCACCCCAACCTGCATCCCCCAGCCAGCCATGGGGCACAAGCAAACCTTCCTGCTCCCCTTCCATGCACGTCCCCCCGGCCAGGTCATCCACTCTTGGCCATGGTTCCTGGTAGGGACCCTGGTCCAGTCTTGGGGTACCAGGGGCACAGATGAGAAAATGGGTAAGATCTCAGAGCCTGCCACCAAAGGGACAGGGATGAATTCCCAGCTCTACTATTTACCACGAGCTGTGTGACCTCCAGCTGGTGACTTAGCCTTCCTGAGCCCCCCGATCTGTGTCAAATGTGCATGGTCATGGTTCCCCTGCAGGATTATGTTGAAGATTAAATACCAGATGCACAGTGTTCAACAAATTATTTGGTATGGATTAAGCCTATACTAATCTTTCCTGGAGAAGAGGCAGGAGGACTGAGTGAAGAACTATGGTCCCTTTCCCGCGCTTTTCTAGTCTACGGGTTTTTTGATCACTAACTATCCTCATTTTAACAAAGCCCACTGCAGGACCGTTTCCCTGAAGTGCTTTTCAAATAACAGAAACCTGAATGATCTATGATTTTCATAGCAATTTGGATTAATTTTTTTTTTTCCTGAGGCTGGTAGAACAGTTAAACTTAAGGAGAGCTGTGCTAGGAGGTATCATGAAGGATTTAATTTAGCTTCTGGATTGGACAGATCGCAGTGAATCCTTAAAAAGAAACTAATGAAACCATGTGCTGTCCAAAAGTAATTCAGTCATTCGGTAAACATTTACAGAGCACCCTCCATGAGGCAGGCCCTATGCTGCGTCCAGATGGCCGCCTGTGTGTTCTTATCTTTAGAATAATAAAAATTCTCATCAATAAATAGTTCTCAAATAATCAGAGATAAGGACAAGTGCTCGGATCTGGAATGATGTAGAAAGATGTTTTTAGGGACGCCTGGGTGGCTCAGTCGGTTAAGCAGCTGCCTTCGGCTCAGGTCATGATCCCAGGGTCCTGGGAATGAGCCCCACATCAGGCTCCCTGCTCAGCGGGGAGCCTGCTTCTCCCTCTGCCTGCCGCTCTCCCTGCTTGTGCTCTGTCTCTCTCTGACAAATAAATAAATAAGATCTTTAAAAAAAAAAAGTTGTTTTTAAATGTGAATAATTTGCCAGGTGTATAACAGATAAAAGAATGAATACCTAAATTATATAAATTATATCTAAGATCCCATTAAAAAATCATATCAGTGGGCAGTTTATAGAAAAGTGAATTTAAATTGCCAGTAAACGCAGGAAAGATACAATGGAATAGGATTTGTTACTTAGAAGGAACAAGTGAGCATAGGATTGCATATGATCCAGCAATTCCACATGTGGGTACCAACCCCAAAGAAATGATAGCGAGGACTCCAACAGATCTTTGCACGCCCATGTTCACAGCAGCATCATTCACAATAGTCAAAAGGTGGGAACGATTGATAGAAGAGAGAAAAACAAAATGTGGTATATACATATGAGGGACTGCAAGCCTTAAAAAGGAAGGAAATTCTGACATATGCTACCACAGGGATGATCCTTGAAGACATGATGCTAAGTGCAATAAACCAACCCAAGAAGACAAATACCACATGATCCCACTTATAGGAGGACCTGGAGCGGTCAAATTCGGGGAGACAAAGTAGAATAGTGGTTGCCGGGGCAGGGGGTTGCAGGGGGAAAAGGTGGAGCCGCTGTTTTGTGAGTACAGAATCCAGGGAGGGAAAATGAAAGAGTTCTGGAGATGGAGGGGTGGTGATTGAATGTGAATATGCTTGATGTCACTGAACTGGACACCTAAAAATGGTTAAAATGGCCAATTTTATGTTATGGATATTTAACCACAATAAAAAAAGTTATTTCCAAACTTGGATTCAAAAATCACTATCATTCTAGGGGCGCCTGGCTGGCTCAGTCAGTGGAGTGTGAGACTCTTGATCTCAGGGTTGTAGGTTCGAGCTCCACGTTGGGTGTAGAGATTACTTAAAAAAAGAAAATCTTTAGGGGCACCTGGGTGGTTCAGTCGGTTAAGCGTCCAACTCCTAATTTCAGCTCAGGTCATAACCTCTGGGTGGTGAGATCGAGCCCTGAGTCGGGCTCCACACCCGGCATGGAGCCTGCTTAAGATTGTCTCTCTGCCCCTCCTCACCTGCTGTCTCTCTCAAAAAAAAAATTATGCCTTAAAAACACCCTTCTTTCTCCTCCCATCATTGAATTTCTTCAGTGTGCCTTTACTATTAAAAATGCAGGGGGGCACCTGTTGGCTCAGTCGGTTAAGTGTCTGCCTTCGGCTCAGGTCATGATCCCAGGGTCCTGGGATTGAGCCCCACATCGGGCTCCCTGCTCAGTGGGGAGTCTGCTGCTCCGTCTCCCCTGCCCCTGCTCGTGCTCGTGCTCTCTTTCTTTCTCATTCACTCTCTCTTAAATAAATAAATAAAATCTTAAAAAAAAAAAAATGCAGGGCACCTGGGTGGCTCAGTTGGTTAAACATCCAACTCTTGATTTCAGTTCAGGTCATGATCTCACGGTTGTGAGATCGAGCCCCCCATAGGGCTTGACCTCACGGTTGTGAAATCGAGCCCCCCATAGGGCTCCGTGCTGGTCCTGGAGCCTGCTTAAGATTCTCTCCCTCTCTCTCTCCTCTCCCCACCACTCGTGCTCTCTCTCTCTATATATAATGAATAAATCTTTTAAAAAAATGCAAAAAAAATTTTTTTAAATAATGAGGTAGGCAAAGAAAGAAGTCTACGATAAATTATGACGTGAAAAGCCTTGCTGTACACAATACCTTTCCATTTATGTTAAGAAAAAGAAATACATTGTATGTGCACAAGCCAAGGAAAGGTCTCCAAGGAAATACCCTACACTGGTCGCAGAACTTGCTTCTGAGGAGAATGGGGGTGGGGGGAGTAAATGGGAACCCTTTGTGATTTACTTTTATCATGGAATAATTTTAAAATAGGTCCATAACTCCCCAGTATCAGGGGAGGAAGGCTGGGGTTTCCTCCCGGTAGGCTTGGCAAAGTGGGCCCAGGACTGCCGCCATGTCTGACCAGAACGACATGCTACAAAGTGGAGGACAGGCTCACACACGCCCAGAATAGAAGGAAACCTTTCAGATTGCGAATATTATAAACAGTTGTCTGTAAAAATAAAAACATACCGGGGCGCCTGAGTGGCTCAGTCGTTAAGCGTCTGCCTTTGGCTCAGGTCATGATCCCAGGGTCCTGGGATGGAGCCCCGCATCAGGCTCCCTGCTCAGTTCGAAGCCTGCTTCTCCCTCTCCCACTCCCCCTGCTTGTTTTCCCTCTCTCGCTGTGTCTCTCTGTCAAATAAATAAATAAAATCTTTAAAAAATAATAATAAAATAAAATAAAAACATACCTGTGAAGTCATGAGTTTCAGTTTCCAGTGTGGGAAATAGGGCCACCGCAGTTCGGCTTGGGAGGTAACAGCTCAGCATTGAGCCAGAAATACAGAGTCGAAAGACACCACAGGTTATTGGTGTGAGGTAGGCAAACGATTTTACCTCTTCCACATCTGTTTCCTCATCTGTAAAATGGGTACAAGAAGAATACAGATGGGGGTGGTTGTGAGGATTATAAAGCATCTGGCATATCCAAACACCCAATAAATACCATGAATATAAAATAACAAAGTACTCATTTCTTTAAAAGGGTACCTGGAGTTTGGCTTTTCAAAAACCAAACCAAAGCTATTTCTCTCCCTTGTGCAGAGGCTGACATCCAGAAAGCATTCAGTACATAGGACCCCGGGCCTTCCCCTCTGGATCCGTGGTTCTCAAAGGTCAGTGAATGTCCACATGGTCTGAGGAGCTTGTTAGAAATACAGATGCCCAGAGTCCATCCCCAGAAACTGTGATTCACTTGGCTTGGAGTGTGGCCCTGGAAACTGCATTCTGCCTCCAGTGCCCTATAGAGTGCACTTAAGAAATCCTGTTCTTGTTCGAAGAGTGATAGTTGAAAAAGATGAGGCAAAGTTCAAATGTCCTCCCTGCCCCCAAAAACGTTCTCTTCCCCGCCTCCCAGCCCCCCGTTCTGCTTCCGCTTCCCGTCTGCAAGAAAATGGCCACTCCTCTCCTTCCTTCTCCAGAGTTTTGGGGAGTGCAGTTTCTAGAAAAAAATGTGCTTGCTGTTTCTTGACAAAACCTCAACAGGACTGTTTTTTAAAAAGAAGAGAGGGGAGGGAAGAAAAGTAGGAAAGGAAGGAAAAAAAAAAGGAAAGAACAGCTTCCTGGAGGTGGGGTGAGTGGGAGAGTACCAGGAAGCAGAGGATTTGGGAGGCATTTGGCACAAACCAAAAAGACTAAAAATCCTCAAAAATCCCGTCTAATGGACAGACAGACCTTTTCTATCCTCTGGGACAAAATCCAAAGAGTTTTCCAGTTGGAGAAATAGCGGAAATGAGAGACAGAGAAAAAAATGGGCTAGAGGAAAGGAGGGGTGGAGAGCAGGGGACGGGGGTGGGGAGGGTGTGTGCAAACCGACCAGTGTGCACAATAACTTGGATGTAAGTTCAGTTTTTCAGTACCTTTTACATAGAAAATAAATAAATAAAAATAAAAACTCACCTAATGGGTTTTTTTTGGGGGGGGGGGTGGTTTCCTGCCACTCTGCAAACACCAACTAATGAATTCATCTGCCCAGGACAGCCCCTCCAGAGGGAGGTAAACAGTTACAGGCTCTTAGGCCCTATCTGCTAAGTAAACCAGAGCTACAATGGGCTAGAAGTTAGGCAGCTCGCTTGGTGAGAGGCTGCATATAGTTAATTAATTGCATCACGTCTGTAGCTGATAAAGCAGGTCTCGAGGGGGGCTATTTTCAAGTCACACAGCTTTAGGTGGAAGTTGAACATTGAAATAGTCGCTCCTCTGGAGAGGGTGGAGATTTCAGGATCAAACCTTATTAACAGGAGGGCTTCAGATGAAGGGGCGGGTTGGTGAGAGAAACCCCGAGGAGCTGGGCTGGGCGGGAGGAGGACCAGCACGAGCGGCTGCCTCAGGTCAGGAGCCCACGCAGCCATTAACCTGGATTTTTAATTCTAAAGACACGTGTACCAATGCGATGCGGTGAAGACATCCGAGAGAACCCATCTGTCTCGTGCAGCCATGACCCCTCCCGGTCAAACCTACACTCCCTGTGTCTAGTGTGTCTATTAATTCTTTAAACTTTTTGTTAGCGAAAATTTCACCCGTATGTATGACTCCCCACCCCATCCATGGGTCACCCAGCCTCAGGGATCATCAACTCAAGGTGAATCTTGTTTCATTTAAACCAGCCTTGGCCTCAGGATCACCTTGGGGGTTTGTTAACACTGCATTCCCGAGTCAGTAGGTCTGGAGTGGGACCTGAGAATTTGCATTTTCCCCGGTGCTGCTGGTCCTGCTGGTCAGGGAACCACATTTTGAGAACCACTAGTCTATAAGTGCAGTCGCTTTTTTTTATTAAAACTAATCTCGCATAGCATGTCATTTCATCTGAAATACTCAGTGCTCTAAAAAATGATGCCATTATCACACCTAAAAAATCAGGATAATTCTAAAAAAATAAAAAATAAAAAATAAATCAGGATAATTCATGGATATCATCAACTATGTAGTAAGGGCTCAAATGTCCAAATGCCTCATACATGTCATCATTTTTTTACAGTTTATTTTAATCAGAATCCAAATAAAGTACATATTGTGATTGTGGGATATTATGTCTTTAAGTCTTTTCATCTTTAACCATTAGTCCTCCTTCAGCTCTTTTATTTCCTTGCAATCAACGTGTTGAAAACTGTTTATTATTTTTTAAGAGGTAGAGCAGCATAGTGGTGAGCTCTGCGGGGGCCAGCTGCATGCTTGTGACCTTGCTGAGTTAGTCACCCCCTCTTAGCGCAGGGACGCTGGTGAATGTTTAACCACCAGCTCTCGAGGGAGGAGGGGCCGTGGGGGAAATACAAGCCCCGATTTGTACATTTGCCCATTTCGGTGGCGTCAACACCCCCGCCGTGGCCGATTTCAAGTGACCAACATGCTGTCAGGAAACGGAGGGCCTGGACCTGTGGGGGGTAGCGCCCTGCGCCACAGGATGTCCACCAAACGGACACAACCGACGTGAATAACCCCAAAGCATAGACACCAATGAAACATACGAAAATAATTAGCAAGTGAGGACTTTCGAGTATTTATTACCTTTGTTTTAAATATAATTTATGTAATTATAGGTTTATTTCATTTTTAACGATGGCCATGTTTACCCACTCGCTTGCCAAATTCCTGGAGGTTTAACCAGCAGTGCGGGCTCCTGCACACGCGGTCCCTCCGTCTCTCCGCCGGGAATGGGACGCATAAGGGCACTAAGGCTCCGTGGCCGGGACACGGAGCGGCCACGCGCGGGGCACACAGCGAAGACTCAGTGCGCATACACAGTCCAGGGGCCGTCCACGGGAGTTACTCGCTGCCGTGGCTGGGCCTGGAAAGCAAACCCCGTGGGGGCTTGCGTCACATGCAGGGGACGTTCAGAGTTTTCAGAGTTCCAGGGGGAAGAAGCAGCCAGAAGGGTGTGAGCTCCAGGGGTGGCCCTCGGGCCTGGCTTGATCACCACACAGATTCCAAGGGCCCAGAAGAAATGCAGTTTAGGTAAACGGACTCAGGCCCTCTGTGCTCCACCCTTCCACTTCACGCGGCCACTTAATCTGTTTGCTAAAACCAAGACCCTTCTTTGGAGGTAGATCGGGTTACTGGCAAGGTGATTATTGTTTCTAATGGTCTGCAAACAGGTTCTCAACTGTTAACCCCTCCAGCCTCTGGGGACCGGGGGACAAGCCAGACCGGGCAGAGGCAGACTCAGGCACAGGTTGCTCAGGAGGTTGAGGGATGCCAAAAGAACGAGGCTGGAGTCAGGACCGGGTGCCGTCCTGGCGAAGGCGTTGGAGCTCAAGTCCAGGCTGAGCACAAGGCACCTGCCTTAGTTCCCCGCATGGCCTGTGACTCCCTCCGGACTCCCTCCGCTCCCAGGAGGTCCTGAGCATAACCTGGGGCTGGGGAATTCCTTGGGTGCCCGCACTGTGCACAGAATAAGCCAATAAAGAAGGCAAGCTCAAGGGGCACGATGAGTTCTTGGCCCCCCACTTCCCAGCAGTGTGAGCTTGGGCAAGTTATTTAACTTCTCTGAGCCTCAGTTTCCTTATGTATTCCACGGGGTAACAATGATTTCCACCTGTGGGGTTGGGGGGGCGAATTATAGACAATGTGTGTAGGGCACTTAGCAAAATACATGGCACATAATAAGTACACAAGAAATACTAGCTGCTTATTATTATTTCAATGCATGTAGATGCTGTCATCATTAATAAAATGCAAATCGATTTAATTAATAGCTTTTCCTTTCCATATGTTTTCTCATTCAATAAATATTAAAAGTGTCATAGGGAACATCTTTGGGGCGTTTAGACTTTGAGAAGGGGTCCTCACTCTTGGGAAAGCACGCATCTAGACTGTGAGAGAGCAACACTTTCTCCACGCACCTCAGAGGGGCTCAAGCCCATGAAAGATGACAGTGTTCTAGACAGTTGAGATGGCAAGGAGGCGGGGCGCCTGGATGGCACAGTCGGTGAAGCGTCGGACTCTTGGTTTCAGTTCAGCTCATGATCTCAGGGTCGTGGGATCAGGCTCCGTGGCAGGCTCCACACTCAGTGAGGAAGTCTGCTAAAGTTTCTCTCTCCCTCTCCCTCTGCTTCTCTCCCTGCTGGCTCTCTCTCTCTCTCTCTCAAATTAATAAATCTTTAAAAAAAAAAAAAAAGAAAGAAAGAAATGGCAAAAAGGCAGCAGAGCTTAAAGAACATCACCTGAGATGTCAGGAAGAGAGTGAGGCAAGGATGAGGCCAGGGGAGCCTGGGGCCAGCGGTGGGAGGATGAAGCTCCCAAGAGAAAAACCATTTTTTAAAGATTATTTATTTATTTGAGAGAGAGTGTGGGAGCGAATACGAGGAGGGGGAGGGGCAGACTCCCGGTTGAATAGGGAGCCCAACATGGGGCTCCATCCCAGGACTCTGGGATCACGACCTGAGCCAAAGGCAGATGCCTAACCGACTGAGCCACCCAGGTGACCGCTTTCAGTTTTTTATTATTAGGAATAAAGGTGCAGAAAAATTCATGTCCAAGCTTTTTTGAGGGCCCATGTGTTCTCTCCCATAGGCAAATATCTGGGAGCAGAGTTGCTGGATTATAGTTGACTCTGTTATACATTCTTACTCAGGATCTCATGATCAGGATGAACTGGAGGCAGAGAGGTGGTGGGGGAGTGGGCTGGAATGGGGAGGATGCGGCATTCTAGAGCAGAAGATGCCCTGGACTGTGATTTGGAAGCCTCAGCCTCAAACCAGCTCTCCGTTTTTGGGCAAATCACTCCCTCGGGGGCCCAGTTTCCTCCCTAGAAAAGAGCAGCTATCACACCAAAGAATGGAAGGTGGGAACAGATGATTTCAAGAATGCAAGTGGGTCACTCTCAGACCTCTTGCCCTGACTTTGAGGTGGGAAAGCTGGGCCGGCATCCCCATCACCGAGCGTAAGTGATACGCTTGACTTTCTGGGTGTAGCTGGGGAAGAATGAATGAGGGGCTAGCTTCAGAAAGTCAGCGCTGTATGGTCTCCAGCTCACAGCTTCCCAGGGCCGACTTCCCGTCCTCTGCACCTCTTCTTCCTTCCTCCATAATCCAGCAGAGTGGGGGATCCAAGCCCGGATCCACATGCTGCAGGGACTGTGCAATGGGAAGGATCGAGGAAGGTACTGGGATGCCCTTGAGAGCTTGGCGAGGGGAGTTCCATCGGTGAAGCTTCAGCGGTTGGCCCGGGGGAGGCAGCCCAGCAGGCTGAGTCGTCCCCGGGCTTGGCGATCAGCACCCGCTCTGACCTTGCAGTTACCCCGGCAACACGCGAGTCTTCGCGCTGCTCACGTGAGGTCGCATGCCGGTCCGGGGAGCTGTGTTTTCACTCTGAATCTCTC